GTGATGGGGCACTGAGCCCCTCTGGAGGTTTGTAGTCAGCCGGGTAGCGTTGCTCCCCACAGCACAAGCTGCCCTCCTGGGGCTCAGAAGGCCTGTCTATGATGATGCTGTGTCTCTGCCCTCCTTGGGCCTTGAGTACCCGGATCCCCTCGAGACCTGCCTCCCCGAGGGTCCCAGCCACCCTGTTCTCCCTCCCCCATCTGGCTGGCTGTGACAGGCTCACCTGGGCATCCTCTCAGCCTGACTGAGTGCCCGGCCTCGGATGGCACTCAGCTTGCGTCTGCTTTTAGAAACAAGTTCCCGGCCCCCTCTGAGGAAGCCTGTGGGGTAACCCAGCCAGTTGATGTAAAGTCCCCGGTGGTGGTGTTTTTAATTTCATAAAATTGTAGGTGAAAATATACAGCTCAGACCATCCCCCGCCATCCGAGTCTGTCACAGCTCAGCCCGCCAGCCCACCAATTCCCACTGGGGCTTCAGAGCGGCTGTGGGTAGCAGGGTCTCCCGTCAGACTTTCATTGGAGGGGCAGTGGGGTCTCTTGTCAGATTTCCGTCAGAGCACAGTGCTCCTGCCAGGCCTTCTCCACGCCGCCACCAAGTGTACAAGTCCCCCAGTAGGTCTGGAATCATTTACCCCTTTTGATAAGATTCCTCTCTGCAGTCCTTGATGAAAACCATCAGTGCTGGAAGCCGAGCACCATCTAGTTCCTCTGGTCTCCTGGTGAAGGAGACAGTTAGCCCTGCAGGTCCACTCTGCTCCCATTACCGTCTCCAGCTGCCTACAAACCCCTCTGACGGGTGTCCCTGGTGGCACCACCAAGGCTCTGTCAGAGTCGAGGAGACCTGCACTACATGGGTAGCGCAGGGTGTCTGGTCTGGTTTCCCACAGGGCACCCACTTCCCTGAGCAGGTTGCAGGTTGGGGCAGGAGGGCAGGGGGAGGGTGGGGGTGGGGGGCACCACAGTGGGCTAGCTGCTGCTGCTCATCTGTGGTGCAGGTGGGGGTGGACTCAGAAGGGTGGCTGTGCCGGGTGGTGCGGCCTTCTCATGCTGACACACCGTTTGTTTCTGTTCCAGAAAAGAGAGGCTGCCCTGGATGAGGTAAGCAGACGCTGTGGCTCTCCCACCCCTTCCAGGGCATGAAGGAGGCCACCCGAGTCCCTCAGGGGGCTTAGGGTCTGAGACACACAATAGACACATGGCTTCCCTTCCAAACCTCCCTCTGGTTCATTCCCAGAGGGAGACTGGATAGGGCTCGACCTCGACCTGGGGCACGACGGGGCTCCCACATTGTGCACCTGGCCCCACGGGCACTGCCCTTGCCCCCCACTCCTATGCCAAGGCCAGGGCCCTGCAAATTGAGGAGGAAGGAGCCCATGAGGTATAAGGGGAGGAGGCGGTGGGAGCACACCGCAGAGCCGACCTGGTGAGTCGACAGGATCTGGACCGGCTGCCTGAGGCCTGGCCCGCGCTGTGAGCAGCTGAAGCCCCACACCTTCGATTTGCTCCAGCATCTGCTGCCCCACCCCCATCCTGGCTCTGAGGGTGGGGCTTCAGTCCCAGGACTCCTGACTTTTTTTTCCCCACTGCCCTCCTGAGGGGTGGGGGCCTCCCAGTCTCCCTAAGTGGGGCAGGGGCAGTGCTGGTGTACAGTCAGGACAGAGTGAGCCTGGCTTCCCATCTGATGGCTTTAAACCTTGGGTAGGCCCCTGCCCAGGTGCCTCCCCTCCCCCTGCCACAGTGAACCTTAGATGCAGGCCACACTCCCAGTACCTGGCCCATAGCCAGATAGATGGCCACTGGGCACAGGCCCATCACACAGCTCCCCCAGAGAGGATAACCCCCACGATCCCCACAAGAAGCAGCTCCAAGGTCTCACTGCCCACTCAGGGCTGCCCCCTTCACCTGACCGGTTCAGAACTGCCCTTTTAAAACGGTTCCCTCGCCAACCCCACCCAAGTCCATTGACCTCCTGCCATTCCCAGGGCCACTGCTACAACTACGCCCACCTCAGCCCCTGCACTGGCTCTGAAACAGCTGAAGTGGGGTATTTCACACTGCCTGTACTTTACCACAGTGAACAGAGCGGCAGAAGCAGCCGCTTCCTCTCCTTCTCCCTCTCTCTCTCCCAGACCTGCCTGAACCTCTACTTGAATGACCCCGCCCCTGCAGACATGGCCCCGCTTCCCGCAGGATGGGCCCTCAGCATAGCCCAGCCCCACCCCTGTAGGGATGGACCCATCTCATGGGCTAGCCCCCCCCCAGGGACGGACCTGCCCCCCCACAGGGCTGATCCCTCAGCCTCCGCGCTGCCTCGGTTGGTTTTCCTGTGTGTAAGTTTATGTGCAGGGAATGCTAGCCTGGCCCATGCCAGCCCTCCAGAAACACTGCCCAGGGCCCCTCCCTCTCACGGGCAGCCTCTTGTCAGTTGCTGCTGTCTGGTGACACCATAGTTCAGCAGTCAGCAGCCCACAGAAAGGTTAGGGTTCAAGCCTGCCCACCTAGCTGCTCCACTAAAGAAAGACCTGGCGGTCAGTGCCTTAATCGGAGACCCCCGTGGGGCTATCAACCCCGCCATCAGTGGGGGCGCCTGATGGCACCCAGCAGCACCCTCCAGCCCTTTGTCCATTGCCCCACCAGGGCCCAGGCCCCCTGGGCTAGGCAGCCGTCAGTGTCCCCATGGGCGCTGGTGCCCCTGACAACACGTCTTGCACCTCCCTCTGTGCCACTGACTCTTACCCCTGGGTCACATTACCCACCTCCCAGGCCGCCTCAATGCATTTGTCCCCAACACAGCTAGACGTCTAATGGCGCTCCCCGTGAGGGCCGCCAGTGCACAGTCACCCTGTGTGTTTTTAACCAAGGTGAGAGGTGGCTCATGTCAGCCTGGTGGTGCCGTGATTACACTTGGGCTGCGATCTGCATGGTCAGTAGTTCTAAACCACCAGCATCTCAGAAGAAAGTTTTATACTCTAGTAAAGAGTTACCGTCTCGGAAACCCACAGGGGGCGCCATGAGTCAGTACTGACTCCCTGGGGAGCGGACCCACAGGGGGTGCCGTGTGTCACACTGGCCCCATGGGGAGCGGACCCACAGGGGCCGCCATGAGTCACACTGGCTCCATGGGGAGCGGACTCACAGGGGGCGCTGTGAGTCAGGCCAGCTGACTGAAGGTAGTGTGTGTGACCTGGTTTTGGAGCAGTGGCACTGTGAAGCTGGCTGGGGGGAGAGAGCAGGCCCGTCAGGAGGGTGGTGGGGCTTTTTGGGAGCTCCTCTGCATCCCTTGGGAAGGTGGCTCGGGGGCTTCACTGATCACTCGCCCCGGGATGCGCCTGTAGCGATGGCTCGCCCAGCAGCGCCCAGTTCAAGTCGCAGCTTTCCTCGCTCTACTCCCCTCCCACCCCTCCGTGGGGGCCGCCCGCCCCCTTCCTGTCCTGTGGCTGGTGGCAGCTGGGGGAGTGGTTTCCGCCAGGCCTGTGGCAGGGAATTCACCGCACTGCCTTCCCCCACCACCAGGCCGCCACCGTGCTGCAGGCAGCCCTCCGGGGCCACCTCGTGAGGTCGCAGCTCCTGGCCCGGACAGCCCACTGCTCCTCCGCCCCCCGCACACCAAGCCCCCCACGGAAGGTGAACGGCTCCCACTTCTAAGGGCACTGGGGTTTGCCTGGGGTGGGGTAGGGGGCCTCCACTGGACTATGTCAGTTGCCGGTCGCACATCCACGTTGCCCGTAGGATGCACTGTTCAAACCAACCCTGATTCTTCCAGGGCCAGACTCATGACTGCCCAGCGGTGTAGGTGCCCACCTTCCTCTGGGCGAGTTTGAACCGCCCACCTTTAGTTTTGTAACCGAATGCAAGCCCTCCATGCTTCCTGCAATCTCTGCGGGAACCACACATCCAGGAACTCTGAGCTGAACCCCCTGCAGAGGCTCTGACTGACATGAGAGGCTGGGGCTGAGCAAGGTCTTCCTCCCACTCCCATTATCCTTGTAGCACCCCAAAACACCCCACAGTGAGAGCTCCGCTGGCCTGGAGCTGGAGAAGGCCGTGGTGTTGGTCCAGTCTGTCTTCCGTGCGCATCTGGCGAGGATCAGGGCAGGGTAAGTCTGGGGGGCCCAGACAAGCAGCATCTCTGGGTTTGCACCCTTGGATGTGGGGCTCTGGACCCTGCGTGTCCCCACTGCTGCTGTGTGGGCGCATTTTCCCTGTGACGTCAGCTGGGCCTTAGGTGGCGGCCGTGGGCCCCTTTTCGGGGTGCCTGTCTTTGGGCTGTTAGGAGCAGTATTCTCTCACTGTGTGGAAGCTGACAAGTCCAGGCTCTTGAGGAGGGCTTGCTCCCCCAGTTGGGTGGTTGACCACTCTGTCTGTGTTTCCGTCTGTGGGCTTCTCTCTTCTTGGTACATGGACGTGACCTGGAGTGTGGCCACCCAGGAGGGCTCGGAGTCCCCACGCCATGAGGGGCGCACTGCGTGGGGAAGCCTGATCAGCCAGCCACAGCATCACTTCTTTCCCAGGGCTCCTGGGATTGGTGTGGCCACCACCGCTTCCACATCAAGGACATGGGCCCCCTCAGCCAGCAAGGATGCCTGCTCTCTGGCCCCCCCAGGCAACGCCACAGCGTCTCCTCCTGAGTGGGACCTGGGCTGTGTAACGGACACGGGTGAGCCGCCCCCTGCAGCTCCCCGAGAAGAGCTGTCCATGGGCAGGGGAGGACTGAGCGGTCAGCAGCAGAGGGGGCGGCTTCCCTGAGGATGGGACTTTTTTCAAAGGAAACCTCGGCTACTCCATAAGGGTCCCCAAACCAACCACCCTGTGGCATTCTGGGAGTGGGCAGAGGGGTGTCTGGGGGATTGGGGCTCTGGCCCTGGGCCTGACACCCTGAAAGCCACATGGACTCCAAACCCGAGGTCTGCTGTGGGTGTCCTCGTCTGCGTCCATGTCCCTCCCTACGTGTCCTGTCACTAGGGGCCTGCCTGCACGGCGCAGACTCTGACAAGGACCAGAGCAGCCACCCAGTGTGGGGTGTGGGGTCACCCCAGACTGGGAAGAGCTCAGGCCATGAGGGCCGGACATTGTGCTAGGTCAGAGAGGGATGAGGGACGCAGGGCAGACGAGGGTGTGGAGTCACACTGAACACAAAGGGACCCCGGGAGGAGGCCGCTGGTCAGGGCTGAAATGGCATCAGGCGAGAGGGATGTCCTGCTTGGTCAGTGCTGACTGCCCGGTCGTCCCTGCAGCCCAGGACGACAGCGCAGCCAGCAGCGGGGAGACCGAGGAGGAGTCAGCGGCTGAGGAGGAGGTCCTGACCCCAGACGAGCCCGACGTAGATGTAGGTAAGTGGGGTGTCCTGGCTTGCCCCCAAGAGCAGGCCCCGAGTCATTGGGCTTTTTCTACTCCGTCAGAGCAAACACTACATCCTGTCCCAGAGGCCTGTCTTTTAACTCTGTGGGGCCGGCAGAGGCTTCTGTGCTGGGAGGCATCAAGACCACCACAAGGCTCAGGGTCACCTCACTTGCCATCCTGTCCCCCATGACACCTGCGGCCCCTCCTGGCGGCTCCTTGGCTTCCTGGCTGGCTAAGGTGACACCGTGCCGTGGCCCCAGGGTGCTTTCATGGGGTGTCTGCTGGGGGTCACAGCAGCAGGCACAGCTCAGGGTCAGTAACACATCAGCAAAGTAGAGCAGCAATGCTCAACCTGGGAGTCACCACCCCTTTGGGGGTCAAATGACCCTTTTACAGGGGTCGCTCGATTCATAACAGTAGCAAAGTTACAGTGATGAAGTA